CCCGGGTGGAACCGTTTTGGCCACGAGCGTTGAGCTCCGGGATTTTTTGGCTGCGGTTTGGCTCCTGCGTGCAGCCGCTGCGTGGGAGCGGGGGCAGAGCGGGGGCCGGGGAAGCGGATCTGCCTCCCGCAGGGTCACGCCGTGACCTCCCCAATCTCGGGGTGCATCGCGGCATCAAAGCCCCGGGAGTTCCCGTGGTCGTTAATCAGGTGGTGATTGACGTTTTGCTCCGCGGCCGGGTTCACAGATGGTAACGAGATAAGGGTGGCAACTCCCCGGCTGCCCCGGCGTGACCGTAACCTGACCGGGGCCGGCCGGCTCGGCGTAACGCTGTCCCTGTTCAGCCCAAACCCCGGCAAAAAGCCCAGTCTTTCAGAAAGCCGATGCGTAACATAACGCTGGCAAGCCAGGCTCCGGGGCTGCAAGCACAGGGGTCTGAGCACACGCTCGCCTATGCAGTCCTCAAACCGCGTCCACGGCGCAGGCGGGACACGAGCTTGGCCCGCAGTTTGCAGCCAAGCATTTCTCCCACAAAATGGAGCTGCCCCAGGTGAACCGGTGCCCAGGACCATGGCATCGGTCCCTGCTACGCCGGGGTCCCATCGGATGCTCCCCCGATGGGCTCGCTGGGGCTAACCAGACATGGTTTTCCTACCCAGGAGTTCACAGAATCCCAGAAACCCTGCCTGGCAGGGACTGTAAGAGGGCTGAGGCCAAGCCAAAAGAGACAGCCCGAACTGCTGCCATTATCCTCCACTGTCCCCTTTTGCCTTATCTCTGTTTAAAAACACAGCTATCATTCATTTTAGAACTCCACAGCCTCCCTGGGCAGCCTGGGCCAGGGCTCCGTCACCCTCAGAGGGAAGAAGTTCTTCCTCGGGTTCAGCTGGAGCTTCCTCTGCTTCAGTTTGTGCCCGTTGCCCCTTGTCCTGTCGCTGGGCACCACTGGAAAGAGTCTGGCCCCGTCCTCCTGACACCCACCCTGCAGATATTTATAAGCATCTATAAGGTTCAAAGAACTATAGGAAGAGCCTTCCTGAGGCTTCGGGTGAACTGGTTTCCCCAGGTCCTGGCAGGGAGCTGCTCTGC